AAGGACTAGAATCTGCTCCAAGCTTTTACAACTAATGAATGCCATGGCTTGAAGGGGAAAGTCTTCAGTGCCTCTTCTGAAACAAATGGAGATGTGTGCTCATGTGGCTCTATGCAGCCAGATGCGATCTGGCAGTAGCATAACTAGGAACAGGCGAGTATGGCACTTAGGAAACAGGCTCCAGAATTACCACCCACCTTGGCAGAGACTGCAGCCTGACAGCCAAAGCAGCCCAATGGTGTTGCTCTTGCAGCAGCAGCTGGGTACACAGACATCATTCTGCTGCTGCACAAGCAACATCTGGTGTGGACAGATCATGATGTGGCAGTGGCTAAACCGCAGCAGTCAGGGCCTGTTTTTGAGTCCCCGACATAGGTAAGACTCCTGTGCTCCTCTTGGCACAGGAAAATAGCTAGGGCCCATCCATCTACCCCTAACTGGGGACCCTGAAAAGAGGTAAATTTCTCACCTAGTATAGTGTGAGTAAGTGATAAGTTGGGGACCTGCTGAAAATTGAGACTAGTAGAACCTGAATTCCTTTTTCTCACTCAGAATTTCTGCCAAAAGGGATATTTGTTTTGTTTTGTTTTTCCCCCTTGTATAATGAGCAAGTGTCCCAGGAAAAAAGCATAAGCTCCAGAGCACCATGGTTTTCTTGGGCTGGATAAAAAACAAAGAGCATTGGCAATAGATGATACAGGATCTGGTTCCATCAGGAGCGACCCTGATTGTATTAGACAGACTGTTCAGAAATAAGTAGTCCTTTCTAGTTGTAAATTTTCCATCTTCCTATATTTTACTGGTGTTTTTAATTACATATAAAGCATTAATATAAATGTTTATACAGACAAAGCTTCTTTGCTATTTTTCTGCGTATTTTAGTTTCTTTTTGTGTGGGTTTAGAGAAGGGTCCTCTAGGAATACAACTACAACTAGCAAGCCTAATTTTACCCTTGGAAACACCTGTGCAGTATCACCAAACAGGAGTGGCTGAGGTGGCTTTTAGGCTATGTGCAGTATCACCAAACAGGAGTGGCTGAGGGGGCTTTTGGGCTTTTAATCAAGAAACATATAACAAAAAGTAAAACCCCAGACGCACATTGTACATAGAACAGATTTACATAGTTATCCAGCAGGATGCATGCAATATGTTCTGCTAGACGTTTAATTCACCACTAGAGGGCACCCGCAGCATACTGTTAGTTTTGTAGAAACTATTTGAAAACAGAAATGACAAGTCCACCACAACTAAAAAGTTTCAATAAGATGGAGGTGAAGAGAGAAGGATGATGGGGAGAAGATGTATTTCCTCATTGTTTGACTATGTTAGTATTTTGAGCTTATCTAGTGTGCATTTTTGCAGGTAATAGATATTCCAGGTAAACAGCTTTGAGTAGGAAATGAATTAGTCAGTAAAAATCATAGAAATGTAGCATTGTTAGGGACTAGGTACCATCTAGTCCAACTCCTTGTACTAAGGCAGGATCAAATATTCCTAGAACATCTTGGATAGCTGATTTTCTAACCTGTTCTGAGAACCTGCCAGCAGGGGAGATTCCAAAAGTCCTAGGTAGCCTGTTCCAGTTCCTAATCCTTAGAAAGTTTTCCATGTATCTAACATAGATCTCCTTTGCTGCAAATAAAGCTGATGAGATTTTTTTTCCTTCCCACTGTGGTCATGTAGAACAGGTGATCACAGTCTTCCTATCTAACAATCTTTTGTGTACTGTCAGGCTACTACAACTGCCCTCTCCTCACATTTTCTCTTTTCTACTGTAAATTAACCCAATTCCACCAACCTTTACTCATTCAATATTTTCTAAATCTCTACTTATTCTTCTTGCTCTTCTTTTGTCTATTCATTTATCTATGTCTTCCTTAGAGTGTGTTGCTCAAAACTAGACACAGTATTTAGCTGAGGCTTGATCAGCACACAGCAGAGTTGAATAATTACTTTTTGTGTCTTACATACCACTCCAATGTTAATACATAATGTTCCTGTTTACACAGTGGTTTCGTACTAATATTTAAACTGTAAAATAAAATAAAAAATCACTGTAATCAACTACTTAGTGTATGCTGTATGCCCCCAATCCACAGATGATGTGCTAATAGGACCTAACTCCAAAGTTATGAACACTCATGTTTTCAATTCTGAAAGTCTGGTTCTTTACCTCAAGCAGGTGAGACTCAAGTTTTGGGTGCTGAAAGTTCCCCGTTCAATTCCTACTGTGTTAAAGGTGATGGTACCTCACACAGACCCATTCCTTTTCATGATAACATTATGCAGTATTGCTACATCATAACTTAATGTTGTAAAGAGAAAAAGGAAAGGAAAAATCTGAAAGTAATAACATTTATTTATGTATTTACAGTGAAGGAATTTTACTTACTTGCTTCAAATTAAAACAAGACTTAAAAATGAAAATTTAGTTGTGAAGGACTAGTTTTGTCATCATGTTGGCATTGCAATCACAAGTACAGTGTTTGGCTCATGTGGATGCAGTATAGTAAGATTTTATAAGAATCTGATCCAAAAATAATGGGTTTCCACATTAGTACACTTCACTGATGCCAATACTGCTGCTTCCTAATTTGAGTTTAGTTGCATTTAGTTAAAACAGAATAAATACAGAATTAAAAACCTATTGTGCCTGATCTTAGTAATATGTAATACATTATACTTGAAGATTACATAAAAACTAAAATATGTTAATTTTAATGTGTGTGTATGAGTGAGAAACCTGTTAAGATGAAGCAGACATTATTGCTGCATTATTGGCGAATAATTTAAGTATCTGACATGTAAAAGTCAAAGATATCCTTTGTTCTTGTTTATGGAAACTGTATTTATATTGCAGTTCCTAGCTGTGATATCCTAGCTAGAATTCTATAGACCATTCTAGTATTTTGGCCATGAATACAATGTTACAGTAACAATATGGGGGACTGATAAGGGACTAATCAAAACCAAGTCTTTAAGATCCGGAATTGAAGGTGAAAGGCAATGTAGACACAACAGCTAATCAGAGGCAGAGAAGCAGGTTGGTGCAGCTGATTGCTACCAGCTCCATGCTAGGATCTGACTTTGCTGGTCATGCTGCCTTAAGGGGCATATCGCAATTTAGGGATTGGTTAAGGCAAGATTTCATTTTGGGAATATAGATGGAAAAAGTAGTCTGCCCAAGAGGTCCCAAAGTTTTCTCGGTCCTCTGGTTTGTATAATCATAATCACCTCCTATTCCAGAGACTGACTTATAGACATTTACAAAGAAACTGAAACAGCAGCAGGCCCTTCATCTGGGTGATGCCAAAGTCTGCACAAAGCTAATCTGTACAGGAGGTGGCCCAGCTGCCAATCCTATTCTTCCTGTGAAAGCTGGTTTCAAAGTACTGGGTCTGGGCAAAAAGGAAAGTAACACTTGTCACAGCCCTAGTCTGCCTTACTCTCTGCTAGAATCAGCATTGTTCTCAAGTCAAGTCCCTCAAGCAAATCCCCCTCTCAGTCTTCAGGAGACTCTTGTGTGACCAGGATGGATCTGAAGGGTGTTGATACATCTCCTTGACGTGCTTTATTTAACTGAAAGAGCACCTGGGAATCTCCAGAGAGTTTTGTGGCTGGTCCCTACCACTGATCAGGTGTGAGTAAAGGCTCTGTTTTTATTATTATTATTATTATTATTGGCAGGCTTCACAGCCCCTCTGTAGCTCTATCAGTTTGAACTTGAGTCAATTACATTCTGGGCATGTCTACACAAGACATTTGTTGTGCAGTTGACTAATTAACTGCCCAGTAAATGTCTTGGTGTCTACACACGTGCATCTATTAGGCCACCCCTATTTTGCCCCTATTTTACACCTACACATGCACCCTTATTTCATGGGCCCCTATTAGGATGCACAAGACTAATAAACTCCACAACAGGGTAGTACTTGTAAACAAGTATAAGTGCTTCCCTGCTGCGGAGCTTTTTCGTGCACAACAGCACTTGTGTAGACGCTACCCCGGCTGGCTGGGGCACAGGGTGTTTCAGTGTGGGGCTAGCCAGGGGGTAGCTCCCACACTGAAGCATGCTTGTGCCCCAGCCAGCTGCTCTGCAGCACATGGAGCCTGATCAGAGCAGCCCTGGACTGGTAGGCTGACCCACCCGGGTCTCCTCTTAGCCTGGCCTCCTCCAACCAGGCTTCATTTGCTGCGCATGAATAAACTCCAGAGCAATATGCTCCAGAGTTGTTTTGCTCTAGGCACACTTTCAAGCAGCATGCCTTGGAGCAAAAAACTCCAGGGCAATAAGCTCCAGTGTTTATTCATGCACATTAATCGCATGTGTAGATACACCTGCTAAGTACTATTTATTTATCTTTACTAACTTGAAACCATGTGCCAATTGTGTTGAGGCCCAGTCAAAGGTATGGAGAGATAAGCAAGTTACCACAAGTAAAGTAGGGTGGAAGCTAGAGAGCATCAGCTACCCCATTGTGACTGTCCACGCGCCTTCTTTTACTCCACAGTAAATGTGAGACAGCTTGCACCTCAGTGGAAGTGGGTGGGCTGCCTTGAATTTACCATGATGTAAGAGTACAGGCAGTTCCTAAGGAACAGCTGATGTACTGTAACATAACATCACAGCTTACTTTGCACTAACTTAGTTGTGTGTGCCCATACACTAAAGTCCTGCTTTCCTGTTAGTGCATCAGGTCCCAGCCTATTCTTGCTGAAGTCTCCTGAAGTGATTCCTGCAAGCAGGCCTGTCAGAAACACTAGGGATGATGAGGAATCAATTAATAACTGGGCATCCCACTGCCACTCAAAAGGCTGATACTTCTCTCTCAGAAAATGAGACCTACTCTACTGCTATGAAGCTAAACTGTTTCTATCGGCAACTCCAGAAAGAAGTTTCTGCTGAGCCTCAGCATTCTTGATGACGTTTTGTATGAACACCTGATACCAAAGGAATATTTTATAATGTTGCATCACTGAGCATCTTCAAAGGTCCTGCTTACATTGGACAAACTTTGTTTTCTGAAACTGTCAACTGAGCGAAAGGACGGCAGTTGTCCTGCTTGTCCCCACTTCTTCTGTTTGAAATGGTGATCTGAGCTGCTATTGTGGACATCTCACCACCTCGTTTGTCCTGGGTCAGGACTCCTCTCTCTGAAGTTGGGTTCAGGTTGGACTCTGTGATCTCGATGTCACTGCATTTGAACATCTGAATCAAACACCGCCTGAACTAGAATTTTAAAATAGAAAAGATAAGTCAAAATGTATTATAACACTTAAAGTATCTCTGTGAAGCTGTTTGTATTTTGGCTAAAACCTCTTAGCTGGGAGCATCTCAGAGCTGGGAATGTGTGGGGATAGCTGTCATCACCACTGAATGTTTGTTTTTGCAACTGATGCAACAATTACTCTCGTGCAAAAACCCCCAGCAACACTCCAAAGGGACAGAGACAGTGAGAAATCATACTTTTTAAACATCATTTTCCCTTCAGTCATGTTACTAACAATTACTTAGAACCCTCAATGTGGAATTGACCAATGATGTTTGTAATTTCTCCAGTTTGCTTTTGTCAGGTGACTTCTGGGCCCAGGAAAACAGTTTATTTACACGTGTGAGCTGAGCATAGCAACATCATACTTCTGTGCTGCCCTAAAAGCCAAGTGCATTCAAGCTGTAGGACATAAGGAGGGTGACCCTCATCCCTGAGATGTAGAATCGTGGGAGTAAATGAATTAGCTGCTATTTCAGTACCTCAGCTGAATACAACATTCATTTCAAGTATGTTTTCTTTTCTATTTAATAATTTGCAGCACCCAGAGCACATCTACACGAGACATTTACTGTGGAGCTGCCTAATTAGCTCCTCCATAAATATCTTGGCATAAAAACAAGTACAGAGTTTTTTGGTGTGCAGCAGTGCATGTGTAGATGCTGACCAGTTGACCGGGGTATAAGGGTGCTTCAGTGCAGGGGCTGCCTGCCAGCTAGCCCCATACCAGAGCATCCTCATGCATTTATGCCCCAGCCAGCTCCACCACAGCACACAGAGCTGGGTCAGAGTAGACCCTTACCAGCCAGGGCTACTCCGACCCAGATGAACGTGCCACAGTCCTAGGTGCATGTTCAAATGGTGCACCTAGGAGCAATGAACTCTGATGTGATAAGTGCCAGAGTTTATTGCTTTGCATTAATTGTGCCTGTAGACATGCCCCCAGTCTGTTTAATGTTTCTGCCAGCTACTGTACAGCCCATAAACCATTCCTTTTCATTTAGCTTATTACTAAATCTGTTACCAGAACAGGCACCCATCAGTCAGGTTTCTTGTCCTAATCAGTCCTCCCTCAGCTCTTGATACCTCTAAGGCAGTTCTGCACCCCAGGCAGTGACAGCACATGAAGCAGTGACTGCACTTGTGTTGCCAATGGTAGCACATCAGCCAGGAGAGCAGTGGTGGTGGCTGCTATTTTGTACCTTCATGAGGCCAGAATTTGGGGCTGGTGTTGTGGTTACCTCCCACACTCCCCTTAGTTACACTGCTGATATACTAATTCCACCCCAAAAATCTCTCTTACAGCAGCACACATAATTTCCCCCCTCCTAATATATACAGCCAAAAACACAAGGTTTCTCTCCTCAAAATTCAGCATGCACCAATACTGCCCCCTCCATATACACATCACACACACCAATGTTGCAACCTCTAGAAGTCTTCAAAACTGAATTGTCATGCACATCTTCCAGAGAGAGAGTGGTTCTCATCTCTTTGGTCTATTTTCCCATTCTAACTTCTCAAACTTCCAATAATAACTATTATTTAGCATTTAAATGTGCCTCTGACTAATGACTTTGTTAAACATACTTCATCACATTAAAAGATCTGCAATTTATATGGTAGTAGAGCTCAGAGGCTAGTCAGCTCAGGCCCCTGTTCTGCTAGGCATTGTTCCACTACATAGAAAGTAACTGTCCATTATCCCTAAAATTGGAGTCTGTTACATTCCACAGCCTATAGATTTACATGTAGGTAGAAAAAAATAATTAATTATTGAATAAACAATATCATTCACTTGGAAGTAAGACAAAGTATCAGACTATGAGTTAAAGCCATACAGTACCTGTTTGTTCATAAAGACATAAATAATTGGATTGTAAACAGTAGCTGTCTTGGCAAAGAAAGCTGGCATAGCTGCCAGACAAGGATCCAACTCCATGGAAGGGCGTGCAGTAACAAGAATGGAAAAGGCTGCATATGGAGACCAGCAAACTAGATATGCAAGTATCATTATAACAATCATTCTAGTGACTTGTCGCTCAGGTTTCCTGGTAGTCCCCAATCTGCCTTGAGTATCTGACACCTTAGGAAGAAAAGAGAGAGAGAGAGATTCCAGAAATCTTGCTAGAAAATAGGCAAGGACTCATACCAATAAACCTCATGAGATGACTGTAAGAATTTGCCATCACAATAGGACTTCTGTTGTTGAAGGCAGAAAGACCACTATTATTCAGTCATAAAGTGGGAAGCTTCCTTAACAATGATGTGAATTACTATATAATTTTGCTATGTACCAGCAGAGATAAACATGGCTTCAGTCAGTACCCAGGGTTCTAGCTAGGCTTCTGCAGCCCATATGGAAGCCCATGCTGCCACAACTTCACTGTTACTAGTGTCCAAACCTATTAGTTCAGAGTGGCACAGGACTGATCTATGGCCTACATGAATGGCATTGTCAGCCCTGTGGACCAGCCCAATAGGCACTGCATATGGCATAGTCCCAGATGAGCTGAAGCAGATGCCATATGCAGCATATGAATCAACTGGAGACCAAAGTGTAGTGAGAAGCTGCATGATGGGGGTCTACAGGCTGTATCTGACCTGTAGGCTGCATCTTTGACACCACTGGGCTAGATGAAGGCCAGTTGAAGTATGTCTACACATGATGCAGTAATAATTCCTGACTGCAGCATAGAACACTCTTTAATATAGTCTCATTGAAAAATATATTTGTAATGTATGTAATTGCTAATAACTTGCGTCTGACCACACACAGAATCATAGAAAATTAGGGTTGGAAGTGACCTCAGAAGATCATCTACTCCCCGCACCCCCTGCTCAAAGCAGGACTATCCTCATCTAGATCATCCCAGCCAAGTCTTTCTATATCTGGGTCTTAAAAACCTCCAAGGAGGGAGATTCCACCATCTTTCTGGGTAACCTGTTCCAGTGTTTTATTACCCTCCTAGTGAGAAAATTCTTCCTAATATCTAACCTAAACTTCCCTTACTGCAACTTGAGACAGTTGCGCCTTGTTCTGTGATCATGAACAAGATGAGCAGAATCTGACCCTCCATTTACAACCCAGTGCCATAATTTTATGAAGCTCAATAGAACCCTTCTACCATGTGTTCAAATAGCCAAAATTGGTCTGTTGCCTCAATAAAAGTAGCTAGTCTAAAAGTATGAAGCAGAAAGAAGGGTTGAATCCTCAGATGACATAAATCAGTAGGGCTCCATTAGCTTCCCCAGAGCTACATCAAATTTTATCATCTGAAGATATAGGCCATAGCAGAAGTGCTCATGGCATGGCCCTGTCAGTTTCCAACGAACCTGTGTTCTGCTAAATACCTTGTCAGAAGGACACAAAAAAGGAAAGGAAGCTGAAGATACGTCTCAAAGCATGTTAAAAATAGGCCTCGTCTTGCAAAATGATCCAACTTGAGTACATTCTTAGCAAAGTTGCTGGAGGCAATCTGTCCGCTTCATATCTTGCATCCTTTTGAGCAGCTCTTTTTTCTCCCCTTTATCAGTTGGCAGCTAAATATAATTGCCAACACAATTACATGACAAATACAAAAAATGCAGTTCCCCTCACCCCACGTGTCACCAGTTTTAAGACACTTCTCCATATGAGTTCTTTCACTAGCTTCAGAAATTTCAGTCTTCTCCAAACCTGATTTTTCATCACTTGGCCACTGCTGAAGTTGCACTGTTTAATTAAACATGGGACACGAAGCAGACAGAATTAAACCAAAGCAATTTAGCATGTACACACTTACACCAGATTATGCATGCATTGGTTTAGCCTGTACCTAAAAAGGAGATTTTGGTGAATCAGATGTCAGATATTCAAAATATGCATATAGTGCTGATTTTTCAGAATGCCTTTACAAACCGATGTGCTGTATCAATATTACAAGACCTTATCTTAATTGTAGCTGTACTTTACATGTGCAATAGGTGATCATTAGAGCACTAGTGTGGATCAGGCTCTCTGGGGCTTCATAAGAGAAGAATAGCCATGAACTAATAACATATATAAGGATTAAGGGAGCACTCCTGGTATTATGGAAGGAGTCCTCTTCCTATGAAGATCACTTGGACACCTTTAATTTGTTTAAGATCAGACATACAAGGATATTTAGTAATGTGTGGTCTGAGAAATATGAAATAAAATTAGCTTGAGTGATTACCATGTCATGGTACATACATATTCTCTGGGCAGTCTCATTTAATTGCTTGTTCTGTCTATAACAGTGTAGTTTATGAAACTGTGAGTTGTTAAATAATTAATATGAGAAGTGTGCTAGCTTTAAGTGATGTTAGAACTCCTGGATCTAGATCAATAATAAATGAAAGAATTTCAGCTTCAGTAAGAAAGGGAGGACTAAAAACTGCAAGCAGGTTGCCTTTCCCTAAGGAAAAGAAAATGTTGGTACACAACAAAGTAGATTCAGCTCAATTGTCTGTTCTTCAAGCATTCCAAGTCAGTTTTTGAAAGATATTTAAGTTTTTAGGAACATCTCCAGGTAATTTTCAAAAGCATCCACATGCTTCCAGTGGAGGGTGGTTTAAGTTTTGTATTATATGTTTCCATCTGGTTTGATTGTGTTGCTCTAGATTTAGTAGTCATAAGTTAGGGTTTCTTAATTATCAAATAAATGAAGTTGTTTTATTTATATTATCTTTTAAATAAATAAATACCTGAAATTGTTTGCTTTATAGTAGCAATATAATATACTTTCCTTAATAAAGGGGCACTGCAGTATTATCCAAGCTCTGGAACCAAATAATTTAGCCATAAGGTTGAAAAGCCTTGGGAGTGAAGTGAATTTGGAATCTCACAGTTAGCAAAAACAGTGACAATAATTTCTTTTTTAGAAAAGATGTCTGTTTATAGAAACAAATTGAGGAAGACTATAGGAATGAAGAGTTCTTGCAATATATCTTCAATGACAATAATAATATTGAAGTGTTACCACCTAGGAGCCCCATCCCTGGGTCTAGGATTATGGTGCTGGTGGGTTATACAAATATATAACAAAAAAAGATGATCTGTTCCCCCCAAAGAGTTCATAACATATCGTTATCTCTTTTTGAATGAAAGAATCTCAAATCCCTCTACTTGTATAGGAATCACTTTCTCCATATCCCCATAGAGGCGACTGCTTCTAGACAGGAACATTAAATATGTTTAATTGTTAATAATATTTTAGGAGAGGAACTTAAAAATAGTATTAATGCTGGAAAAAAGTGGAGTTACTTAAGTTCCTACACTGCTGCTCACCTTAGATTGTTAGAAGGACCTAGGAATTCTGGTTCTTGGTTTCTATTTTGGTTAATTCCTGTATTATATGACTGTTTAAGACGTATGATTTCTCAGAAAAATCAGTTGTGATAGTTTTATTTGAATTGTGTGGGCATATATTTGAGCATGATAAAAAACTGTAATCAGAAAAGCTTTTAAAAGCAAACTCATTATTGTTTGTGTTCTGTGTTCCCAATGGAACTACGCAGACACACATACTGAGCTTACACACAGTTGCTATGCATTAAAAACAATGTATAACACCAAATATGAGGAGTGGAAAAAATGCTAATGACCTTAGTATTCTGTAGGATTGACTTTTTTTCAGTGTTTAATTTTTAAAAATATTTTTTCAGCAATTGCAGTGATTATTATATTATCAGTTGTTTTTAGTTTAACAGAATGGGGGTATTTATAACCCCATTCCTAAAGTTCCGCTTTGAGTCATGACAGGCTTAAATTCAGAAAACAAAAATTGTGCTGGTCATGCTATATCATATCATCATATGTAAGACTTTCCAAGAAAAGTGTACATAGTTTCATATACATTTATCTAAAGAATAGATGCATTATTTTAGAAATGTAACTCAATAAAAGCACTGGATATTGGGATTGGATATTCATCAATTTTACAGATTATTGAAAGTTCAGGTATTCAGTTCCTTAAGTGTTCCCTTTTGCCTTGTATTATCCGCAGAAAATGTAATATTTATGTAGAATAAATAAAAAAGGCATTTGACTATGCCAAGCACTTAAAAAAACTTCAAGATTAGGATGAAGCTTTATGACAGTGCCTCAGTGCCAGCTAAACAGAGGTAATAATATTCTTCCCTGCACCAGATAAAACTACTCCATACAGAACATGGGGATGTGCATGTGTGCATGCATGTGCATGTCTGTGTGTGTATTTTTCCTGACTCCACTATTTTGTGAAAGATCACAATAGTTATTAAGTAAGAAATAAAAGCATTTTCTCCAGGTCTTGTCTGTCTGGGTCCTGAAGTCCTGGAGAAATGTTAGGATTCAGTTTACCACCTACCACCCTATTTACTGGGCACCATTTACATTTCCTACAAAGCTAATGTAAAATTCTTATTACTTCTGTGTGTCAGAGTATTAAAGAGTTCTGTTCTGAATATCCACTGTCCTATTCCACAACACAGCTCTCAAAATTTTCAAGCACAGGAACATTAAGCCAGATTCTGCTTTACCTTTTTTAGTCTGAAGAAATTCCATTGATTTAAAGTCAAACTAAATAAAATCATATTGGCTTGTTCGGCTTTTTTGTCTCTGTGCTATAATATAATAATTTTAATAAGAAATGATAAAACTGTTGAATACATTCTGTGTCTGGAAATACAACTTGGTTGCAGGTTGCTCTTTTTAGAAATATGCATGTGTGATGAAAACTCTAAACAAATGTGTGTTTACCTTCCTTAGCTTCCGCACCAGTTTTCCATAGGATCCCAGAATCACTAGCAGAGGAATTATGAAGCAGGTGGTGAAGAATGTTATAATGTAGGTATTATCATTATAGGTTCCTGAATACCTACAGGAAACAAAATGTATTTTTAATTTTATGTTATTACTTGTTCCATTTATTTTATTCAATGCAAAAAGATGATTTTTCTCCCCAAGTATCACTCAGTTTTTGAAAACTTTTTAATTTTTTTAAAAAGAAAATAATTGTATAAGTTTTTCATGTGGTTCTTCATGAACTCTGCTTTTGGAGATCAGTTAATTCCAATGAGAAGTGACAGTGTCACTATCAGCATTTTGACTGTCTGAAGTCTACATAAACTATACACAGCATTTTACTAATAGTCTTTAAATTCACTGAAATCTTTAAGGAGCACCCTGAGAAGACAGGACCTCAGTTTTTATAGTTTTAGCTAAACCCCCACTCACTGCAGACTTCATGATACTTATTTTACTTTAGTTCTTGCATATTATTCAGCTCTGTTTAATAGAATGTGCTAAAGGCATCCTATTTTTAGTTTGTGTTTAATTGAGTATTTTTGTTTGTTTATATACATGTCTATACATATTTTTATAGACATAGTATTCAATTATAAAGCATTTTGTTAAGTCTTTGAAATGAAGGTATCCATAGAACTGTAACATTATTGTTTTATTCAAGATGATTTAAGTTATCCACCTATTAGATATTTCAGCCAAATTTTCAAAGGCTTCATATTAAAGTTTGTGTTTCTTTGGTATAGACATAAATTCCACTGAAGTGTATGCAAACACCTGTGTATATGTACAACTCAGGGCTTTTTTCCCCACGTACACTGGAGTTTGCATAAGCAAAAGTGGGCATGAAGTCTACTGGCCTTCTGTCCACCGATGCCCTAAGCAATAATAGAAAAAGCAGTGCAGAAACAGTTGTTTACAGTAATTGTAGACAGTTCCCCTTTAAATCAGGGAACTTGACATTCATTTTTTTACATTCTATCTTCTTAATGCTGCATATGTTTGCATCATTCATTCATCGTTCTCTACCTCTAATGCTCCAAGCATGTAGGAAAAGGGTCAGGCACCTCTGGCCTGATTCACCCCACAGAGTGATTCTATCTAGCCTGAAAAGCTGGGATTTCAGAGGCATTTTGCTGGTGAAACGGGGTTCACCTGCACAGTGATCAGGAAATAAGGAGATGCATCAGGCACTGTGCAGTGGGGAGAAGCAGACACTATGCAGTGGCTTGGTTGGAAGGACAAGCCCCACTCTTATTATTTAGACCCAACACTCCTGAAATCTTGCCAACTCCTGATCTAAGATATTTTTTTCTTTATGGACCTAATCCTGAGAAGGTGAAAGGGTAGCTGCAGATGTCTGAAACAACCTAGGGTAGTGTAGCCTTGGATTTTATTTTTTCATTGCTGTGCTCTGAGTTACCTTACCAGTTGGGTTCACAGGTAGTGCCAATCTTGCTGGTAGTATAACTGCTCCAACCCATGGTCGGTGGAATGGTCCAGATAAAAGAGAAGATCCACACAAAGGCAATGCCCAGGGTTGCATGCTTCCCCCTCAGGCGTATATTTCCCAATGGGCGACAGATAACAATGTACCGCTCAAACGCCAGCAGAGCAAGGGACCAGAGAGCAACAATCCCTGTAATGAAAATGCATGACTAGGGTTAAGAATAATCTAGGAGCATCATAGTATATCCAAGAGCAAACTCTATTCTGCAGCAGATGCCTTTTCTGCTAGTTAAATTTGAGACTGGATATGTTAATATTATTACCATATATTAGTTTTATGTGCAAAAGATGTACAGTTTCTCACTGAATCTGCAAGAACACCCTTGTATGTCATCTACAATTAAGGGACTAAAAGCTGTCTTTAAAAAACAGATGAAAATGAGGACTGAATAAATTTTAACCAGATTTAGTACATCTTACTTCTTTTGTCTTACAGCTCAAACCTATGAGCAGCTGTCTACAGGTTCAAGGAACCATTTCTGCTATCCATGCATAATGTAATCAGTTACAGAGTCACCTAATCACACTTCCACCAGACAGGACTTACACCACATGGAACAGTGGTAAGCGGATACAGGAGTTAGCAGGGTGGCACTGGCCACTCAGTGATTTTTATCTCTGTGCACTGCTTAAAGCAGTCTCATAGCAGACATAGTTAAGGATCTGGCTTGATCATTCACAGTGGTGCTTCCAAAAAACCTTCTCCTTGTCATAGATTTCATAGCTTCATAGACACTGGGGCTGGAAGGAACCCCAGAGGATCATCAAGTCCAGCCCCCTCCCCAGGGGCAGGAAGTCCACAGGGATCATAGGATCCTAGCAAGAGAAACATCCAAATGTTTCGTGAAGGCGTTCAAAGTAGGTGCTTGAACCACCTCCAGCGGCAGTCTATTCCAAACTTTGGGGGTTCAGACAGTAAAGAAGTTCTTCCTTATGTCCAGCCTGAAATGGTGATGGAGGAGTTTATGATCATTCAACCTTGTCATCCCTTGGGGTACTCTGGTGAACAAATGTTCCCCCAGATCCTGGTGAGCACCCCTGATAAATTTGTAGGTGGCCACCGGATCACCCCTGAGCCTGCAGTTTTCCAGGCTGAAGAGTCCCATGGCTCTCAGCCTCTCATCATAAGGTCTGTTTTCCTGACCTTTGATCATTCACCTGGCTCTCCTCTGCACTCTCTCAAGCTTCTCCACATCCTTTTTGAATTGTGGAGCCCAAAACTGGACGCAGTACTCCAGCTGTGGCCTCACCAAGGCCGAGTACAAAGGGGGAATGACATCCTGGGATTTGCTTGAGAAGCATCTGTAGATGCAAGCCAGCGTTTTGCTTGCTTTACTAACCACAGCATCACAATGAAGGCTCATGATCATCTTGTGGTCAATCATGACTCCCAAGTCCCTTTAGTCTGTAGTGCTAACCAGCGCTGCCAAGCCTATAAGCATGCTGCAGGTTTTTCCTCCCAAGGTGGAGAACCTTGCATTTTTTGGTGTTAAACACCGTTACGTTCTCATCTGCCCATTTCTTGAGCCTGTCAAGGTCAGCCTGGATCACTCCTGTCCTCAGTTCTGGACGCTTTACCCCTAGAGTTTGGTGCCGTTGGCGAACTTGGCCAGTCCGCTTCTGACACCAATGTCTACATCATTAATGAAGATGTTAAATAGTATGGGCCCAAGGACAGAGCCTTGAGGGACCTCACTGGTCACAGCGCACCATAACAATTGACTTCCATCAACCACCACCCTCTGGGTCCCACCGCGGAGCCAATTCCCCAGCCAGCAGATCGTGGAGAAGCTGAGGCCACAGTTAGCCAGTTTTGCCAAGAGGTGATCATGGGATACCAGATCAAAGGCTTTTTTAAAGTCAAGATATACGACATCAATCTCTTCTCCCTAGTCCAGGTGATAGGTCACCTGGTCATAAAAGGAAATTAGATTGGTCAAGCAAGACCTACCCACAACAAACCCATGCTGGCTATCCCTCAGGATGTTGCCATCAGCTAGTCTGTTAAGGATGGCCTCTTTGATAATCTTTTCCAAGACCTTCCCCGGGATAGAGGTCAGGCTGATAGGCCTGTAGTTTGCTGGATCCACTTTCCTCCCCTTCTTGAAGATAGGTACCACATTGGCCTTCTTCCAATCTTCGGACACTTCACCAGAGTGCCAGGAGTTCTCAAAGATCCATGCCAGGGGCTGGGCTATGATGCTTGCCAGCTCCTTGAGTACCCTCAGGTGTAAACCATCAGGGCCAGCTGACTTGAAGGTATCCAGCCTGTCACGAGGTCAGCTTTGATGGAGGGTAAGGAAACTCCCTCGCCCAGGCCTCCCTGTCCCATAGTGGGCAGGGGCATCCCATGGGACTGGTGAAAAACTGACTCAAAGTACCCAAGTTTGCTTTTTCCTGGGTGTCAGTTGTCAGTTGTCCCATCTGGTTTAGCAGGGATCCAATGTTGCCCTTGCTTTTCCTCCGGCTCCCCACATATCTAAAAAATAACTTTTTATTGTCCTTGGTATTTGTAGCTAGCTGGATATTTGTAGCTAGCTTGAAATTTGTAGTTAGCATCACAGCCTTGGCTTTCCTGGTTTGCTCTCTGCAGGTCTGGACCAGAGCAAAGTATTCTTCCTTGGTGGTGGATCCAGTCCTCCATCCTTTGTAGGACTTTCTTTTAAGACACAGGATATCCAAAGCCCAAAATTCAGTTGTCAAACTCCATGCCCAAAGATTTACAGTTGCACTTTATTTTGTAGTTAAGTGGTGTATAATACTTCAATATCTCCTTGTCTGAGCACAGGATTGGGCATCAACAACTATTGAGCCCATATGATATTAGCTCTGCCCTTATGTGTCCCACCTCATTGGCCCATGTAGGCAAATACTAATTAAAGGTTTAATTGGTCAATGGTTGAATGGTTAGAGGTTTAATTAGTTAATGTTTGTTAAGCACATTGTGGAAAAAAATTACAGGTGAGTGCTAAATGCTTATTAACAGCATGTAGGCAATCATGTGATTTGGACAGAATCTATTGCCAAAAGAAGATATAACAAATAAAATGCTTAAAACATAAATCCTCTAGTTATCCTGAATCTCACACTCTGACTTACTTACTATTTCAGAATAGTCCAAGAAAGCTGCCAATGTAAAGGAGGCTTGGAATAGATGAACCTCTCTGGCACTCTTCTGGAATGGATCAGCTCTCTTTAAAAGGTAAGAGATCTTCCTTAAGGGTTACCCACCATGGGCTGCTCTCATCTATCATTACCAATCATTACTGCTGTATACCAGTATTTTTAAGTTCACTCTTTAATGCTGTCATTTACAGAAGAGTTGACCTTCCTAGAACGTTCCCATGGCTATGTGACTTCTGTCACTACACCCATCTGTAAGTCGACAATAAGAAAAGAGAGATAGGGACCTTTGATTTGTGTTGGGTTGGGTTGGGTAGTTTTTGGTGGGGTACACTGGCTCAGTTTCTATTAATTTTTTATTTGGTCTGAAGAGGTGGGAGAGGTATTAGGAGTAGTGACAATTTGATAGGTTTATTTTTTTATTTTTTATTTATTAGTTTTAGTACACTTTGTATATTTGGTAGGGTTCATAAAAATGATAGCTTTGAAATATATCATGTGGAAATTAATTTATAATTGTTATTTACAACTACTCTTACTGTTTCAGAGACTACCATTACAGAAGGTTCACAGTCCCTTCCAAGCCACAGGAAGATAACCCTAAAATTGGATATTTCACTATCAAACCATGTTTTCATATTTTGCAAACAACAGGACCATGCTCTCTCTCTCTCTCCCACACATACATTGTCTCACACTATGAAAAGTGTTAAATATTGTTGATGGAACATTGTTCCACCATTGTCTAATAGAAAATATAACCAAGTATGCATTAAAAATATTTTCCTGCTATAAAGATATTCATTGAATCATATGCATACAGGAAGCCACTGGCAGCAGCACATATTTAATTGGAAACAACCAGTGAAATAAACTGCATGTTAACTTGATGACTTTTCCTTTAAGTTTACAAAACAGTGGTGTTGTCCCTGAGGAAAGCTTTTTTTCAAAGCATCTGGTAAGAAAAGTGGAAGTTCAAATACAAAAAAAGGTAAGCTTACCAAAGAATGTAACAGCAAATCCTTCCATCACACAAGCCCAGCGTCCCATATAAAAATAGCCTTTTAAATTGGTAAAAAAGCTGATAGTGCCACCAGTCAATGAAACTAGGAAATCAGCCACAGCTAGGTTTACTATGACATAATTGACAGGTTGCCTCAACTGTTTGAACTTCAAAGTCACCAGTATTACAGCAAAGTTCTCAGAAAGGGACAGACATGTCACCAGGAACATAAATGCAGCCAGAAACTTGAAGTTCCATGGCTGGATGGAGTCCAAAGGATGCTGGAAAGGATCCCAGGCTGTGGAGCTCACGGATGGATCAGAGAACAGTGACTCATTTTCAGGTGCTCTGGACATATCCATTTTTCTCTCTCTCTGGAAAAGGGAAGAATATTAGGTAGGATGGGGGGGTTATAGTTGATAGATATTATTCAGGTTTAAAAGGAAAAAATTGCCATTCCAAACAGAACTGTAGACAAAATCTCCATGCTTTGTAACTAGAGGAAATAAAAGTTTTGGTTAGCAAAGTGCTCAGTGATGAACGTGGGAACAATTCCAAGCAGGATGATCTCTTACACGTAGTATAATCTTCTTTCTTCTCTCCAACTGCAGCTCTTACAGTATGCACTTCTGAAATAAAGCCCAACTACAGGAACAGCAGGTTTTCTCCTTTTATAACAGCCAACAGTAGTGCAGAAATATACCTCTGATCATCCCTATTATCTGGGAAAAGCTGAGGCTCGGACTGGAATCCTTCCTTGCAATCCAGCACTTCAGAAATGAAACAATCCCCTTGTTAGTAGTAAAGGTGGGTGATCTTCCCCATGCCTCTCACTGCTGGAAGCACAACAAAGTGAAGGCTTCTTTCTGACTGATTTGCTTGAGAGGGGGCTGCTGTGACAACATTGTTCGTGGATGCCAGAGCAGATGTAAAATGTGGCAATGATATTGCAGCATTAAGCTGTCCAAATCTAAGCTATGCTGCTTGATAAATTACTTTTCCCAAAACTATGCACTCGCCTGTATTATTCACTGCTTCATTCATCATTGACTACTGTAACATACACAAGTTTCGTTCTCTTTTTATAAGTTTTTTTAATGGACTTTTCTAACAAAAACACAGAGACATTTCCAGGAACAAGGAACATAGTGATCAGGGGCCAGCTTCTGCCAGCTTACTTGGCTTAACTTGTTTCTTGCTTCTTGAGTAAGATATTTCTAATATGCTGCATAGAAAGTAAGGTGTTGTTTAGGGTAGATGCTGATAGCAGAATTTCCTCCTAAAGAAGAATGCTTCCCCAGATATTATTAACAACTAGTTTTAGAATACGGCTTTGTGTGCACGTGTGTGTGTAAAAGTATCCAAAACTAGTGAAAACGCATAACCCAAAATACAATTTCTAAATTCAGTGGATCAGATCATCAGCTGTTGTAAATTGTCATGGTCTTTTTAAATATAATGAGCTTATACTAATTTACACCAGCTTAAGATGAGACCAGCTATATATATAATGAATATGCACTGTGGGATAATGGTTGTCAAAACGGCACCTTATGTGCTAAAACCTCAAATACGCACAACAGTAACTTCCAAAACAGAGTTCACAGACCCATAAGGAAAAAAAATGTATTTGTGACCACTGAATAATAGTTTATAAAGGTTATTTAAAGATCAGTCACATAGTTTCAAGAAGACTGACTAGTTGTCTTTGAACCCATCTTTATACAGTACAATTATTAACATGTATTAGTTATGACGGAGAAAGTTACCATTTCCAGACTAACTCAGCCATCTTGTTCAGGCCAGTGATGTCAGTATTTTAGTATCACCTGACTGAGTCCCTTGAGTCTATCCTAAAATATATCACAAGCTAGGGAAGGTCCAGAACTTCTCAAGAATATGGAGATTATTTATTTGTGTTTCCACTGAAGTAGTGCTAGAGGATTGCAGTGTGGAATCAGAGCTCGCAGGTATGAGGCACTGTATAAAACACAAAACAAAGAGAGACCAAGGTATACCTCACAATTTGGGATGTGGGCACTATGGAATACCTGAGTAAACACCTGAATAAATGTTTGGGTGGTTTAAGAAAAATATAACATTACAGACATAAGTATTTGCATAATTTTGTAATCACAGGACATGTCTACACATGCATTTGAGCCATCTTAAACTTACTGAGCAGTCAGTGGGAATAGACTGGCATCTCCACATGCAGATGTTAAAGTTCATTAACACTGTGTGGACTGACTTGGGACTGTCAGTCTACACACACAGTGTTACTGTGCAGTAAGGCATCTACATGTGTGTTACTACCCAGTAAGTAATTAGCCGTAAATTTGATACCGGCATGTTGCAGGTATAAAATTTGACCTCAAATCAGGGTAAGTAGCCATATTTACTGCACAATATGGGCATGCACATGTAGATGTGCACCCATACTGCACAGTAATTTTGGTTACTGCACAGTAAATGCACACGTTTAGATGCACCCAAAGTGTCATAATAGTTAAAGGTAACTATCAGATGCTAGCTGTCAAAATCAGCCAGTTAGCCTAGAAACACTCTGCAGTTTATTCAAGGGAATGGGTTCCCTGTGCTCTTTCTCTTCCTGCACACTAGTGCAGTGAAAGACAAAGCTTAGACTTTTAAATATAATGTCCCGTTATTTATCTGTTCTCTGCTATGCCCTTGCTAGCTAAACTGGGCTTTTTATATTTTCTTTTCTAGAAAAAAATGGCAGTTTTTTTTCTGCTGTTTATGTAGAAAAAGAAAAGTGCAACTGCAATTATAAGAATAAGGGCAGAAGGAT